CTCCCACTAGGGGTCGCGGATTTAAATTTGTGACTGGTCCCTATTAACCTAGAAATAGAAGTTCAATTTTTTCCTAGTAAAATAGATTGAATAATGACAATTTCTCCAGGTTAGTAGTAGAAAATAGTATATTATATACCTAGGTAGAGAAGTTGGTCATTATATACCGAGCGCTTTTATAAACCGAGGCGCGAAGCGCCGAGGTTTATAATGCGTAAGGTATATAATGACTTTCTCTACCGAGGAATATATAGGATTTTTTTTACTAGAAGAAAATAAAAAATTGGTTTGAAATCTGTGCTCAATTTATTTTTTTTGGACCTTCTTGAAAATGCTGCCCTCTATCAACAGCTTATGGTAACTTCCTATGTACCTACAGAAACCTGTTTTTTTTTTTAATTGACGTATGAAATTGAAATTGAACCAATAGAAACATGACAATATACTTGCATCATGACGTCGTTTTCATTATTGACCTAGGTTTTTTTACATTATTTTCATTATTAACCTAGGGAGAGAAGTTCAATTTTTTCCTAGAAAAATAGATTGAATAATGACAATTTCTCAGGTTAGTAGTAGAAAAAACTTATTTTATGAGCTGATAGGGAATAGTCACAAAATATGATTAACCCTTAAAAGCCCCTGTTAAACTATCAAACGAAAATTATCCGAAAATTCGCAGCTTTTAAATTAATTAGTGTCTGTTAAATAGAAGCTTTTACGATCGTCGCGGACGTGCCATAAAAACCGAGGGTGGTTTATTTGACCGGAGAGGGGACGACCCCAAAAACCGACTTTGATGGCCTGGTTAGGAACATGGGCGTACCAGAAAATTTTCTCAACGATCATTTATCAAGAGTACTCTGACACTTAGTAAATTGAGTTTTTTTCCAGACTAAAAGGAATAATTTCAACTTTACAGTGTTGTCCACAAAATTGCTCTGTGAGGAATTACATTCTATACACTTATAATAATCGAATTTCATCACTAATAGGTTTTTCCATAGAACGTAATTTTTCACAATCTCCTCGTTCAGAAAAAAACATTATTACTTCAAATAAAGTAAATTACAAATCCATCTCCTCGCCACTGTATCAAAAAGAAAGAGGGTGAACTGAACATCGATTTGCACGCTTCGTGATCGAATCAGTGACCACTTTCCCGAGGGCTGCGGGCTTAACGTTACACAAAGGATCCAGGCAGTTTCCTTCCTTGTCCGTTTGCGGAGATGACGACGGGTCCTTGTCTAACGCGCCCTCTTTTGCGGCCCTTTAGCCATTTACTTTGCTTTATATGCGATGCCGTAACACAAACAATTGCGAATGTGTATGTTTTTATTTTTTACGTCTCGCGGAGGCTGATTGAAAAGTAACTTGTTATTTCGGGATCATAAGGGTTGAATGTGCGGACGGAATAAACTGGGGGAAACGAGGGCAAAGTTATATCATACACGGCATATGTTTTATTTTATCGATGGACGGCTCGTAGAATTATTGACTTTTTTATTAAAATGGTTTGTTGTCACACAACGTAAACAAAAAAGAGTTTGCTAGAGGCAATTCCTGCCAAATCAATTACCACAAAAAGCCATCATCTCCAAAATCCTGCCTACTTAAAAAAACCTTCAACTTTTATGAAAGAGAGAAAAAAAAAACAACGTGTCGAGTCGAAACGTAATTTTTTCGCTGCTTTCCCAATAGCACTTTAACTTTGGCGATAAACTTCTCCCACGGGAGCCAACTCCATCTCGCTCGGGCTCGTTCATATACCGGAGAAGGAACGGCTGGAGCCCTTTTCCTGCTAGAAATTCAATTTGCATCAATAAAGAATCGTGCAGAGTTGAAAATGGAAAAGCTTTGGGGGTAATTTTAGGGGCGAATCGCCGAAAACGCAAAGACGCGACGAAACTACATATCGGCTGTCTCATCAAATCGACATCATTTTATATACATTGATCTAGGTTGACGGTTAAAGGTAGGGTTTTTTATAATATTTATGTATGTAGAACTAAATTTAAATCCACATCGAAAATTGATGCTGGAAAAGCCACTCTAGTAATTTTAAGTCTTTCAGGAAGGCACTGACAATATAACTTTGAAATAACACCCCTTTTGCCAAGAGAACCCTTATAAGAATGTAATGTAGCTATTGTATAGAGAGCCCCAGTTGCCTAATCTGCCTATTGTATAATTGAAATCATGGGGGAAATCAACAAGGATCCGAGTCCCTTAATTTAATAACGATATAAGTTTGGGGCAAAGAGACAATGTAACGTTTACCCTTCTGGAATGGAATTAGGAGATTAATTAATTATATGCTATTATTATGTGGACTTTTTTTAAATCCATCCCTGTACCCCCATCAGGATGAACCCCTGAATAAATTACAAGTAGGTATAAAGCTGCTTATCTGATCTGAAGCGTGCATTATACCTTCGTGTGTGTGCGCTGTATCACCCTTTTGCGGTCCCAGGTGTGTTTAGGCGTCCATACAGGTGACGCTTTCATTATGTCTACATATATTTATGACTTCTCCTTTGCGATATTTAGCTTGCCGAAGAGCTTCTGGAAATGGGGTCGGTCGTTGTCGCCGAGTTTGCATTATTATGTGTTTTTAGGGGCTTAAAGGTAAATAGGCTAAACAGAGATTGTTGGTTGAGCTTTAGGAAAAGATTAGACTCCTTATATTAATTAATTTTGACTATAGTTGATTTTTATCACAAAATAAATCAGTATGAATCAAACGTGCACTTGTCTTATAGGCAATATTCAAATAGTGCTTGTATGTAAATAAGGTAAATGTCCTAGTTGTCGGCCACCTAGTAAGAGCAGAGTCTAACTGGAAGAGCCTGTAATATTTGTTAGGGAACCCAGCCGGATTCTAAGAATTGAAATGTTTACATCTAGCGCGATTATTTGGGTAATTCTATCATACACGAAGCCGGGTTTTTCTAGATCTTTAGATCCTAAATCATCACCCCCATACAGTTTGGTCATCAATTCTACACACCTACCAATATCTACCTTATGTCCTGGAATGCAAACTCACTCTTTCTAGAAACGCAGGAGTTTGCAAATTTTCTACACAGATATAGCATCAACATCGTTCTTGAACATCGGGAACAATGTTGACATCAAAGAGGGGTTATCATTTGGGATTAATGGCCGTCGTAAGTTGGAATTTCTTCCTGACGTTTCGCTAACACGCGTAGCTAGCATCTTCAGAGGTGCTTCCATATTCGATTCTGGTAGCAGAATGATGCGTTCACGACCGTAAGTTGTATTTATGTGTACTCAATGGAACCTTTCTTGCGTTTTTGAGGATCGGGTTCCAGGTTTGGTTGAGTTTTAGTGTTTCTTCTTTCCTGTTGAAGTTCTCCGTACAAGACGATTGTAGTATCCGGAAGTCGGTGAAAGAAGCTTGACCTCGCCAAAGAGTATTTCGTGATTCCCTTCATATTACTCTCCAACCTGAGGATATCCTGGCCAGCTCTGATGTGTCTTTATTCACAAAAGTGCCATTGACAGAATCTCTTGACTTGATATCAAGTACCTTCCCCAATGACATAGTTGAGCTTTTCCGGACATGTCTCACTGGCAGTTACTTTCTATGGAACGGCGATTTCTGAGAGCAAACGGACGGTGTAGCTATGAGAAGTCCGCTCGGCCCGGTCATAGCCAACTTCTTTATGGAAGATTTCGATAACCAAACCTGGAACCCGATCCTCAAAAACACAAGAAAGATCCCATTGAGGACAGAAACAGATTAGCCACGTGCGGCGAAGCCCCGCCCCTCCCCCACCACAGCCACTCACACATACAACTTACGGTCGGGAACGCGTCAGTCTGCTACCAGAATCGGATATGGAAGCACCTCTGAAGATGCTAGCCACACGTGCTAGCAAAACGTTAGGAAGAAATTCCAACTTACGACGGCCATTAGGCCGAGTGAATACACTTTATCAATAAACCAGGGTCGTGAAAGCTTCACAAACTTTATCAATGTTGACATCTCCACAACTTCTACACTTTTCAACATGCACTTTGGAGTAAGGATGCTCCTGGCTCTAGCACCAACTCTTAACTTTGAATGATTCATATTTTAAGTAGAAAATATAGCTTTGGTCAGAACATTTTACCTAAGTGCCATAATGTTTTCAGTTTATGAATCTGGATTTCATCAATGAATTGGTTGATACCACTTGCTGTTCTCCAAAGTTTTTTATACACTGACAATTCCCCCTTACTAACCATATTAATATTTCTTTTCAATACCCTCCAAAGTTTTATTATTTCCCCAGTGAATAAACCCTCGGCGCACGTTTTTGAATCTTTTACTACACGCGAGAGAGGGATGCCGGCCCAAAACCAAATCCCCGAGTGGCAGCGCGATATCAGAAGAGGGTCGTGAATGCGAAGGGTGTGTTAATTGCCTGTGGTGCGGTCTGCGCCCTTCTGGTCCCTATACTGTATAATGTTTGCATGTGTAAGTAGTGTGTTTGCCGTGAGACGCCCGTTGCGGATAAGGGCGAAAACATTTAATACTCTTTGAAAGTGAGATTTAAATTTGTGATGGCCCGGGGTTTGTTTACTTTTTGACCTAGTGTATGTATAATTTCACTTAGAAAGAAAAATTTCAATTAGTGTCCAAATTCTATAATGAATAATTTGGAAAGCTTCAAAAATCAATATTGTCCCTTTTAATACTTCTTTGCCCATTACCGTCATTATCTCGATTGCCCTCTGAATAATGTATCAATGAATTTTGAATGGCCCTTTGCTTCACCCCTAAATAAACAAAACGTTTTCAGCTGGCTACCCCATCATCGTGACATGAAATATTAGACAGGAAAAATTATTTGTGAAATGGGCAAGGGTTGATGGTCGTTTAGGAATATTTCTGTTTGTGTGAGGAGATAATGGCTTAATGATCGTTTGAATGTTTTTATTTCAATCAGATAGGTAATTAATGTAAAAAATATATGAAAGGCAAAACTTACCTGTTTGTGCATTTCGACATTTAATCCGTATGACATTTCGTAATACTGAAACAAGAAAAAAAAAAGTTAGTATATTATACATTTCTTCGTTTCTTTAGCTCTCAAGAGATATGAGTACATATCTTCTTGAACATTTCAATATGTTAGATGTTCTATCTACGTAATAATATCCAAAGTAGCGGTATTATAAATTAGCTACCGTAAACTAGTAAAGCTAGTTCTTATTTCGCCACTTGTACACGCCGCTTATGTCATCTGGCAAACAAGAATTTCAGCATTTAAGTGAGACCAGTTTCGTATAACGAGAGTTCGCGGTATCTCGCATTAAAAATTCCTTACATTCTCCGACATTTCTTAAACATCTTTTTGCTATTACCCGCAATTACTATAACACGGTCGATTGCATTTCTGCTCGCCGGTTTTACTTAGGTGGTTATAGTCCGTCATCCTATACCTTGTTCGGTTCTTCCTTTTTATTATCCTCCATTAGCTGGTATTTTTAATTTAATTTCATGGCATTTTTCTACCGAGAAGTTATAAATAATAGTGATAAGTGAGCCTGGAATATTGCTTTCATTAATTTGGATATTTTTATGATTTGGCATTTCTCAACATGATTTGAGTTTTCTGGAAAGGTTCATAGGAACATAGAAGTGAAGTTACGTATACCTAAGTGAAACAAGTGCTGTCAAACCATGATGAACTTTCCCAACAAAGGACATGCATAATGCCTGAAAACCAATACAAAAATTGGGACTGATTGAGCCCCAATAGTAGAATCAGGAACGAAATAGTTTACCTGAACAAACGAATATGCTCTCTATCTCAAAAAAAAAACCAAGATCCGCATCAATACAAGACCTGAGAGAACATTTCTGTCAAGTGGAAAAGATCTGATCTACAATAGACGAATTGAACATGAATAGAGACAAGAAATCACAAGAGCTTTGTAACAAAATTAGAAGGAAAATTCGAGCAGCCGTACGGAAGTTTATACGCTACAATGAAAACAAAACCTCGAAATTCATTCTAGAAACAAACTAACTCATATATGTCGTTTTAGAACGTCTTTTTTCGTTGTCCGGCATCTAATTTCCATCCTCTTCTATCGTCGCAATCCTCTGATGAGAGATTTCTTTCACTCATGGACTTCTGTATGCTCTTCTGCCATTCCAGTTTTGGTCTTCCTCGCTTTCTTCTGGTTTGAAAACCTCATTTTTTCTCGAATGAAAGTAATGACGTCATTTTTAAACAGATTTTCGAAACATTTCGAAATGCTGGGGTCGGGAAAAGAGAGCCAAATAAGCAACATAATGGCGGCCTACTTCCATTGTTATCACTGTTTCTGTAAAACCCAAGAGATGGCGCTATTAATTGCGTCACTTACGTCATTTTTAAGTATGTGCACAGTGCACAATCTCAAACGAATATGCATAATTTTCCATTAGTTAAATGCACACTTGAAAATTTTCTTGGAACGACCCTGACTTTTAACAGTCGGCCATTTTGAGTGACTCGTTTTCGTTTTTATCCAGTTTTTCCTCGAATTTTCCACTTTTCCAGGAGGAAAACCGATTTAAAGTGCGGGGATTTGAATTTCCTTCATTATCTGCCAAAAATGTCCCCTTTTCTAATGGGGTAAGTAACGAAAACTCTAGTTTTATCAAGTAGACTTCGGAATGTCATTTCTGTTGGTTTTTCTTTGGATTTTCCGCTCTTACACGACCTCTTTAATCGGAAAAAGAAGGGAGACTTTGAATTTACGTCTTTTTCTACCATTTTTAGACAGACCTCTATCTCTCTTTTTGTTTCTCCTTTTTTTTGTCTTGCTCAATATAATCACTGTTTTTTTTTTTTTCAAAAATTTAATCAAATTAACATTGAAAATGGAAATTTGTTACTTTTCTAGGCTGCAAATTCATCGGAAAATGAGGAAAAATCTGTAAAAACATTCGGTTTGAGATTGTAATTGTGGCAACATCGCTTTCAATCAAGTAATAAATGTCATTTGCCACTTGAGTTTTTATACAGTTTTTCCTCGAATTTTCCGCTTTTCCAGGGGATTTTTTTATTATTTAACGTTGAATTACTCATTAAAAATCATTATTTTTTTAGGTGGCAACAGCGCTTGTAGCCAACTTCCCTTATAGCGATTTCCATTTGTCGAACTAGTGCAAAAAAATTTATCCTTATCCATTAACATGCTTTTAGAAAAAGATGCGGATACACTCAGTGTGCACTGACTGACAAATGGAAATCGCCATTAGGTTTCAATTGAGTAGGCCTTGGAAATTGGAATGTCATTTATAAAGCCTGACAGTGACATTTTTGACAGTCGGCCAATTTGAGTGACCCGTTTTTTCAGTTTTCCGGGAATTTTCCAGCGAAAAAAGTGGTTTTAAAGTGCGTCATTTTCAGCCAAAAATTTCCAGTTTTCAAATGGGGTGAGTGAGAAAATAGTATATTGTATTTAGGTGGAAAAGTGACACATTCTTGGCCAACATCTTATAGACGTCTTTTTTTTGATCTTCAGACGTTCAGACCGAAGTTCAGACGCAATAGTGCAGACCTAAAAAAGACGTCTTCAAGACTTTACGTGCTGTCTGGGTGTAACTTTTAATGTGATTCCTCAGATTCTGGCTTTTCAACATGTTTCTGGAGATTCTAGAATGTTTCAGTGTTTTGGGGCATTCTGAATGGTTCTGAAATTTCCAAAATGTTCTGAAGCGCACAATGGTTTTGGAGATTCTGAATTGAATTTTGAGTGTTTTGAACTTTCCATTATTAAAGTTCTAAAGTATCCTATATGGTTTCCAGTAACTTCTAAGTTGAATGCACAACTAATTGAGGGTGTGCCAATGCAGAATTTTTCTGGGTCACCTGGTATTTGGCATTCGTTCTACGAGTCCGTACCAGGTAAGTTGCTTCCTTCCAATGCCCTGAACTATCGTGCCTTCTATTCCTATTTGTTGGTTCATATAGTCATTCCTTATTCTCTCTCTTCGAGAGATTCGCATGGATCTTCTAATAGCATCCATTTCAACTGCTTCTACTTTCATAATTTGTCTGTCTGTAGTTCTCCAAGTCTCGGCTCGGCTACTCTTTATCATTGTTTCGTATCTATATATTGAATTTTCTCTTCTTTGTTATTTCCTTGCTCCATAGGATTCCATTTAGACATGCTATTACTTTATTAGGTTTAACTATTCGCTTTTCTATTTCTTCCACATCTGTTCTGGTGTTTTCGAATGTGATATCTAGATACTTAAATTCGTGACATTGCAAAAATTCCTGACCATCATCCACTTCCAAGTTTCGTTCTGGGTGCCTACAGATAGATATTTTGTTTTATTTATATTAACTCTCAGTCCCCATTCTTGGTACTCTTCTATCAACTTTCTAATCATGTCTTCTTCTTTGTCAATGGCCACTATGACCTGATCATCTGCAAACTGAAGAGTAAACAGGCACCTATCATTTATCTCTATACCTACCCATTCCATGGATGTTCCTCTTCCAATTTTTTGATGCTATTGCTATTATCCATTATCCAGCACATAATTTCTTAGGTTCTAATTTACTTCTTTATCTGTGTTATTTACAGTATGAAACGATTTTTGTTAAATACACGAACAACGCACATATTATAAACAAACAGAAAAATACATAAAAATGAACAAAATAATAGGAACTTGCATAAATTGAACTCTCAAAAACAAAATCACATTTAATCCACTAACCTGTGAACGCTCCTTACACACACACTAATAACAAATTGGACTGAACAATCAATTTTAATGCAAAATAAAAATTAAAATTGAATAATGAATAATTACAGACACGCGACACTTTTTGTAACGGACCAGCCTCAGCTTGTTCTCTAGTCTCCCTAATGCCTAATCGCCTCTTCTCTTGTATCCTCTTCGGTTTCGGTACGATTTTCTGTGGCGCGCTCCGTTCAAACCTAAATTTGATGGCGCAGACATGGTTGCAACATTTACTTTTATTCAGTAACCGATTTTTAAAAGTTAGAATTTGAAGAAATAATATGTTAAATAGGTGGTTTTCCTCAATACCCAGAGGTTAGTACTGACTGTAGCGAAGTAGAGGCAGCGCTCAAAAACTCCAAAGCTCCGGTAAAAGATCGGAACACGAACAAAATGTTGGAAATCAGAGAGAAGACAATAAAATAATCACTTCAAATACAGCTTGGGAGAAGGTAGAATTACAGAATCGGAAGATGAACCAGAAGTCATCCTCCTCTTCGAGGAAAATTACAATGCAAATACATGGATGATGAAATCACATGAGCTGTCTATCTTCTAAAAACTGCTGAAAACGAAATATTATAACCTACCGATTCAGAAATTTGACTTTAATCATCCCATCTGGCCTAGCTAGCGAGGTTCAAGTTTATTTTCAAGTTTCAACAAAACTGGCTGCATTCAAACGACGTAGATTCTGATCAAGTAACAGCAGTGATCAAGCCAATGATGACATATTCACGGCAGTTTAGTTTGGTGGAACGCGCTTAACAAATTCACCTACACGACAAAGCTGGATATTAACTAGAAATGATGCCTCTTCATCTCTTTGTGGAGACACGGATCCGGGAGGCTTCAGTGAGATTTAACGATTGGGGACAATGGGTTCATAGAAGGCTGAACATACAAGGGCAAGACCTTTCTCACTAAGAGGGATGCAATGCCAAAAACTCTAGCCCCACTAGACAATACAAGGTCGTCACGCCTGGAAGAGATAACTGGGATAGATGAGATAACTGAGATAGATGGGAGAGATATTTTCTCTACCTCTATTGACGTCCCCTCTCTATTGATTTCGAGAAGACAGAAGAAGACAGTAAGTGCCATAGCGATAAGGATAACGATCTCTATCCGCTATAGAGTTCCAGCCCTCTTCCTCAAGCCGAACGGGCTTATTTGGTACACAGACGGCTCTCTGATGGAAGAGAGTCCAGGAGCTGCTGTATATGAGAAGAGACATGTGGCGAAAATCAGTCTTGGACTGGATACCCAACGGTATACCAGACTGAGATCACACTATACAGATGTGTGCCTCAGGAGAATCTCCAGGACCCTTATTCTCGAAATAGGAAAGCAGCGTTCTTATGAGAACCAAGGGTCTGTTATCCATATTTATATTTCCATAACACTGACAAAGACAGAGCAAACCTTCTCGTGAGAGTGCTGTTCTTCGGTTTCGAGAATAGACATCCAGAGAGGTTACTCGGGCAAGCATATTTATATATGCAGCGATAGTCAGGCAGCACTCCGAGCCCTTTGCTCAAGGTCAACTGAAGGTTCACGCTTGACTGTATAACAACCCTTGAACTACTCAACCAAGTCACCCTTGTTTGAGTCCTGGGTTACAGGGGCAACGAGAAGGCGGACCAGCTGGCTCGTGAAGATAGCAATACTGCCTGTATTGGGCCAAAGCCTGCACTTGGGGTTGTTTCCTGCTTGATGGAAACCAAGATCAGGAATTGGTCCAACAACCAGTTCCAAGACGAATGACTGGATCAAAGAGGCCTCAGACAATCAAGGATCTTCATACAAAGTCCTTCAAACTCCAAGAGGCCAAAAGCCGCCTAAAACTGAACGAGAGCCAACTAAGCGCCATCACAGGTGTCGTGACGGGGCACTGGGTGATCAGATAACATCTGCGCCAAATCGGGCTTAGTGATGAGACGAAATGCAGATACTGAGCGGGTCTGCACCTTTCTTAAAAGTTGCTCCTAAGGTGGGACAGGACTGCACCAAGAGGGGGATAGCACAATGGGCCACATGCCCGTCTACGTGCGCCTATGAAGGCTCTACTTTCAAATAAATCAACGTGCAGGCCGCGCAGCTACACATGACTTTCGCAGATTACCAAAAAGTATTTGAACGATTAACAAAGCCGGCTTCGATTCCAAATATACCAAATATCCGATACATTTAAGAAAACGCCGCACCCTTGAGAAGAGTTGGATAACTGGAAACAAGCATGTGATGGGAGACGTCAGGCATTGTCAATGACTTTGGAAGATGTACGTGTTCAATTGTCTATCCTGGAAGAAGGAAGGTGTTAACACAGATAGAAAGCCTCTCAACAGTCAATAACCACCTCTTTGCGGATGATGTTTTGCTCTTCTACGGGTAACGCAGATAAAGTTGGCCTCAAAATAAACCTCTCAAATACCAGATGACATGATCAGCTATCATTATTTCAAACTACAAAAATCTTGAAATCCGCCTCTGTGAAATAAACCACAATTCTAAAATAGCAATTAATTAAGTTAATTTAAATTTTTCTCGCCGCTCTAATTCACATTGTCACACCTGTTATGGCAAAATATTTATGACAAACATATGCTGGCTCGAGACATTTTGTGATGTGTTTTTTTCGTATTTAATTGGTGTTTCTCGCTATTTCATTGTTTGGCGCAGAACTATAAATATACATCATCGGCTTTAGTGGGTTCGCGTAGGCGCGCGACCGATAAATACCCCACGGAAAATCACTTTGTTGGCTGCTAATTGGTTTTTAGTGCGTTAATTAGGCGGTACTTAAAATAAAATCGATTACTCACCATCACGTAATGCCGTTGGATTTCGATTTTTTCGCTGGCTAGTTTTTCGCAATCCAATTTGAGACTGAAACAAACAAAAAAATACAACATTAACATTCTTGCGGTATACATTAATTATTAATCGGCGTTCGGACCATATTTCGAACGGCGCGGGATTCCAAAACGAGCGGCACAAGCAAAATTTACAGCCGCATCCATAATAGCCGTGGGCCCCAGTAATGGTCTTCAATGACCCCCATTTATGGGCATTTATTTACACCGCTACGTTCCGATATGGTGGTCGGGATTATATCTAGATTGTATTGAATTATCTATATAGCAATCCGATTGATTGTGCAAAGATGGAGCTTTTTTTTATTGATGTTTTTTTAGGGTGATTGTATTTGAGATGAAGCGGCAACAACAAAGGATTTTTAAGTTTGAAGTGAATAATTGTGTGTTCTATTAGATTTAAATTGTTTATTGTGTTTTGTGGTTCTTTGATGTTGCCGCCTGATGATTACAAGGGGAAACAGTTAACATATCTTGAACTTCGCACCCTTAATAGCAGTGAACTCTCACAAGTCGGTTATCAGTGAACTCAAGTCATCATTACTCTAAGATTATGTGCAGAGAAAAGAGGTCCATCATAAAATGGATCACGATTGTTCAAATCAGCGTTCCATTTTAATTTCGGATCACAAGTGTCACAGTGGGAAGGATGATCATTCGAGTGCGTCTTTGCTGATCAATTTAAATTTCGCATTACAAGTGTCACATTCGAAAGAACAAACATCCGTGTGAGTCTTTAGATGTTGCTTCAAATATCCGATCTTTTTAAATTTCACATTACAAGTATCACATTCGAAAGGATGATCATCCGAGTGCTTAAATGTTTTTAAATGTTTATTCAAATGGCCAGTCAGTTTAAATTTTGCTTTACAAGTTTCACATTTATAGGGATAATCATCTAGATGTATGATGGAGTGTTTTCCTAATCCTTCTTTATTTTCAAATTTTGCATTGAATTTGTAGCATTCAAATTCCTCATTTCTCTGTTGATGCACATTTACATGTTGTAAATTATTTTTGGTTTTAGACTTACTGAAGAAAATGTTACAGTGAAATTTCTCGAAATCACCTGGTAGTAGTGTTGGTAAATTGGATTGGAATTGCTATATAGACAAACACGAAAAGAAACTGAGAGAAATATATAATCAGAGAAAGATATAGAGAAAAAGGAACATGTGGGTGGGTAATATATCCGCTTTGCATACTGATGGTCCCGGGTTCAAGCCCGGCTAGGGTTGTATTCGTGATGTTTGTCTTAGTAAAATGTGCTTGAAACACTCAAATGTGGTCTTTAGAAGAAATAAATGAATGAAGCATGAGCAAGTTTAACGTGCCAAAATTGACCAACTATTTCATACTTGTTTTCAGTTTTCTATTCAAGATTACTTTAACTTTGTTTACCTTTTTCCTCCATAAAATTTCAACAATAATTACAGTAATTGCAGATCTTGTAAATTTTGCAATTTTCAATATTTAAATTCTATTTTCATTTGTCACTAGTTCCTGTGATGACTAATGATTTTCCTCGATTTTAATCAATAGCCGCTTTCGGGTGCTCCTAGAACACTTCACACCTGTCAGTGACCTGTCATACTCCATGCGTTTTGCACTCGAACGCTTGAAACCGAACTGGTCAAACTGGCAGCCGGAGTACTTTGGAGTAACTCGAGAGCACTCAAAGGGTGGAACCCGAAAGCAGCTCTTATTTCAATTCCAATTCAAAATTAATTTTTCATGAAAACAAATCAATTATTCTAGGGTTATGTTTCCCAAATCGTGATCCGTTTTCAGAGTATGTACCGTATGCTGTTCGTACTTTCGTACTCTGTTCATTTGCTGAACTCAGTACCAGTTTTAGTTCTGCTCCCGGTCCCATCATTGGTTCCATAAACCACCGGATTGCTCTCCTTGCTCTCTATTTCATAATGACACTTGACGCTTAAGTCATGTCACTCTTGATTTGTGTCTCAGCTGACTGGTGAAGTGTCGTTCATTTTTGTCAATTGGCTTTCAATTAGTAATGTTTTTGGGGTCATCGATTAGTTAGTTAGTAGAGTTAATATTCTCAATTATTGAAATTATGGACATTGAGTTGCCTTACGTTACGTTACGTTTACATGAAGTACTATAGATTTCGCCGATTAATTCGGATTTTTACAACCATCCATGTGGTAAGTTTTGCTTTGCACGTTTTTTTCCCACAGTGGATTCTGACCTTTTCTATTTAATCATTAGTGAAAAGCTGCCCTAAGGAGTAGAGTAAAGACCATCTCACTCACTCCAGGATTTCCAATCCAGAACTCGATTCAGAATAATCCAGAGTATTTTCGAGGCAAATAAAACCCATTCCAACAGGTGAGACATAACCTAATAACCTTAAATTTTCTTTGCAAACTCGAGACACATTTTTTTTTTTAATTATTAAAGCTTTATCTGATTTTGTCTAATTTGATTAATTATCATCAGAGATACATTATTATTCAATTTTCTTATAGAGTTAATATTCTCAATTATTGAAATTATGGACATTGAGTTGCCTTACGTTACGTTACGTTTACATGAAGTACTATAGATTTCGCCGATTAATTCGGATTTTTACAACCATCCATGTGGTAAGTTTTGCTTTGCACGTTTTTTTCCCACAGTGGATTCTGACCTTTTCTATTTAATCATTAGTGAAAAGCTGCCCTAAGGAGTAGAGTAAAGACCATCTCACTCACTCCAGGATTTCGAATCCAGAACTCGATTCAGAATAATCCAGAGTATTTTCGAGGCAAATAAAACCCATTCCAACAGGTGAGACATAACCTAATAACCTTAAATTTTCTTTGCAAACTCGAGGCACATTTTCTTTTTAATTATTAAAGCTTTATCTGATTTTGTCTAATTTGATTAATTATCATCAGAGATACATTATTATTCAATTTTCTTATAGAGTTAATATTCTCAATTATTGAAATTATGGACATTGAGTTGCCTTTCGTTACGTTACGTTTCCATAAAGTACTATAGATTTCGCCGATTAATTCGGATTTTTACAACCATCCATGTGGTAAGTTTTGCTTTGCACGTTTTTTTCCCACAGTGGATTCTGACCTATTCTATTTAATCATTAGTGAAAAGCTGCCCTAAGGAGTAGAGTAAAGACCATCTCACTCACTCCAGGATTTCGAATCCAGAACTCGATTCAGAATAATCCAGAGTATTTTCGAGGCAAATAAAACCCATTCCAACAGGTGAGACATAACCTAATAACCTTAAATTTTCTTTGCAAACTCGAGGAACATTTTTTTTTTTAATTATTAAAGCTTTATCTGATTTTGTCTAATTTGATTAATTATCATCAGAGATACATTATTATTCAATTTTCTTATAGAGTTAATATTCTCAATTATTGAAATTATAGCACATTGAATTGCCTTACGTTACGTTACGTTCCCGTAAAGTGCTATAGATTTCGCCGATTAATTCGGATTTTTACAACCATCCATGTGGTAAATTATGCTTTGCACGTTTTCTCCCACAGTGGATTCTGACCTTTTCTATTAAATCATTAGTGAAAAGCTGCCCTAAGGAGTAGAGTAAAGAACATCCCACTAACTTCAGGATTACCGAAAAAGCGTTGCACAAGACCTGCAAATAGTGGGCAGGAATGAAATAATAAAAAAGTAATAGTATCATGATTCAAACATCTCAAACAGAAAAAGAATTAGTGATAAAAAAAATTAAAGAAAATTCCGAAATAGATGAAGAAGAATGTTATGACTTCATGGACCATAACAAATAAAGCACCCAGGAGGTGATGAACATGATATGATTGAAATGTTTACGTAAGTCCATGGTAGAATGTTAGTCCCAATTCTTTTCGAAAAATAAGAACAAACACTGCTGAAAACTCCTTCACCAATTATTTTTAATTCCGTGTCGAAAAACTTTCCAGTCATTTTTAATTACAATGAACATCCTACATAAATTTTATTCAATCTGAAAAAAGTCATGATGAATATAAAACACTATAGTCAGACAACTAAATCTATCACACCACAAATGGGTCAATTATATCCATCAATTCCGAGCTATATTCGAGCCAATCAAACAATCAACAATTTTAATAAGCGCAATTACTGAGAGATATCGTTTAAGTCTGAGCCGGGGTTTCAACTTCGAAGTGATCTCAACACCTAAAGCTATAAATTATCCACGTTTAGACAAGCAATTAACGTAAGATGGCACTGCCTCGAGATATAACTCGAAACCGTGTTGTATAATATATTTAATGGACGTTTAAGTGGACAAGGAGTTTACAACATGAAAGTGCTTGCTAGCAGGACGTATTTTTATCACCCGAAGGTATTTTGTAGAAATCGTGCCTTTTTGTTGCTTGTTCTAAGTAGTGTCATTTTTAGAAATCTTTGAACTCACCTGTGATATTGAGCCTGTAAAAAGTTGAATTCTTCCTTAATCCGATCGCAAGATTCCTGTACTGTAAATTTGAATGGCTGACCAGGCTGCGGCGGACCCTGAAAAAAAAAATTACTTCAATTAACAAAAATATCATTAAAACATAATGGTAAAAACAAACAGTTCTCAAAATTTACCCAAATATTGTCAAATGTCAATTATGTGGTGCTGCTCAACCATTCAAATAAATTGTTAATTACATTATACAAAATTGGTGTAGATAATGCAATGAAAATGAGTAAAAAAAATAAAAATTCACTTTCTCATAAACACGGGCGGTGTTGTTTGAAGACTACTGGTATACGGTTCAGCAAACTTGATGGATAATTTTAACAGTTTTTAACACTTAAAGCGGAAATTACGTCAATCGTAATTTATTTTATCTCCAGAATACACTTCGCTGTCTAAATATTGGTTTTTGACCATTTTAAATGTTTGCACAGGCTGCGTATTATTTCCTTGAATCAATATTATTTCCCGGAGATATATTTATTTACCCTAAGCGAGAGATATGACAGAGTGGGCGAATTTCAGCTTGAAGAAAGATTATTTTGTACAACGCTAAAACATCAATTACTAAAGTAAGTCATGTAAGAAACGTATGCATGCGAAACGTATTAGTGCAGCAGACAGTAAAATGACTTAACGAGCTAATAAATATAATCCAGCACCCAATTAGTTTAATGTATGATTTTAAACTTCAGCACAGGATAAAAACATATTTACTTTCTGCTAAAAAAAATATAAACACAATTTCATTTACGCCCCACGGCGCGCATAGGGAAGCTTTTCTCTCATTTCCCAGTTCCGACGTGAAACAGGTGAAAAGTGCAAAATTGGCATTCAGAGCACCCAAATTAATTACAACTTCGTAAATACTTCCTTTGCGTTGCTACCGCTGCTGCTGTTCGCTTTATGTTCGCCCGCATTACCAGAATAAACAAGTTGTTACGTTTTGCGAAATAGCAAAACTCCCCGGAGTTAGGAGAGAGAGAACGGAGAGGTGAGGGCGTTAATTTGCACTCAAAACACGAGTTATATTATAAAAATACAACCCGGGGTGAGTTTAAATTAAATTTCGTGCATTTTCCGGATTAACTTCGTAATAAGCAAGTTGTCCAAGAGGAAATTACACTCATAATACGGTTTGCATTGTTTTTTTTTGTCAATCCTAACTTGTTTGCTAGTTATGAAGCGTCTGGTTTATTTAATATACATTTTTAGGGGGATTTTCGCATTGAAGTTTGAATGATAGAATAATTGCGATTGATTGAGTTTCTTCCAGTGAAATGTTTAGAAGATATCTTATTATGATTATTTTCACTCTACGCCCTATCGTTGGTGTTGGGTGCAGAAAACAGAACTGTAGATGAAAAATCATGTGCAGCGCCGTAAGAAGTGAAATTTCGTATTGAGTGTGTAGTATAACATACCTGGGTTCGTTCAATAGGATTGAACGATGAGAATTTTCACTACCTTTTAAACAACAAATCTTCTGAAAATGAAATGAAAAACAAATAGGACCTACGTTGTGGAAACTTACTCAATTTTACTTACTGGACATGCGCCCGACATAGCAAATATTAGGAAAATTTAAGGGAAGTTGTGATATGTAAAAGAAACGAGAAATTTGTGAAACGTCTACTTTATTTTTAAAGTAAATCGTACCGTTCTCATCCTGGAACTAACGAGGGGAAAGAGCACGGCAGAGAAACCCTCGATCTAACATTCCTCAAAAATCGAAACATACTGTGTCATTTTTATAATAATTGTGAGTCATTAATTCAAAATTTTTAAGTCAATAAAAGTTTAAATTAGGTACCATCCTTTGTCTTTGTGTTAAAGTTTCAATTACACACACTATATTCAATCAACACTACCTATATTCAACACTGAAGAGTTTTTTTTTTTAGTTAGCCAGTTTCCCAGTAGGTACTGAGGTCCCATACGGGAAGCTACTCAGCTGTAGTTGTTTTTGTTAGGATATTCTCTCGTCAGGGTAGGAAAATGTTAGTAAATTCAATAAGGCCCTAATGCACGCTCTAAATCCAAAAATCAAAATCCTTGCACAAAAAGACAGCACATAATTTCTTGAATTTTTAATTTACTTCTTTGTCTGTGTTGTTTACAGCATGAAACGATTTTTGTTAAATACATGAACAATGCAGATGTTATAAAAAAAAAATGTTATAAACAAACAAAAAAACATAAAAATGGAAAAAATGATATTTGTATAAATTGAACTCTGACAAACAATATAATAATTAATCAACTAACCTGTGAACGCTTCTTACACACACACACTAATAACAAATTGGATTGAACAATCAATTTTAATGCAAAATAAAAATGAAAATTGAATAATGAATAATTACAGACACGCGACACGTTTTCTAAGGGACCAGTCCAGCTCGTTCTGTAGTCTAGTTGCGTATTCTCTTGTATCCTCTTCGGTTTCGGTACCTTCGTTTTTTGTGGCGCGCTCGTCCAATCCTAAACTTGAGGGCTCATAATACATGGTTGCAACATTAACTTTTATTCAGTAAACGTTTTTTTTAAAAAGTTAAGATTTTAAAAAATAATATTTTAAATAGGTGGTTTTCCTCAACTGTATACGTCGCTCTCTCTTGCTGCACTCCCGTGGCCCCACAGTTGTACCCCGCGTCACAATATCTATTCTCTTTTATTGTCCAGTATACGTGGCTTGTACAATGCTTCCTAAACTATTCCCCCTTCGAGCAACTGAGACTTTGGACTTAGCGCACGAGTATGGGTTAAAGACGAAGGACCTCACAAAAGGGAGACGCGGATAGTTGAAACTATGTATTAGATTTATAAAGTCTGTTTTTTTTTTTAAAGATAATTCCCTAAGTCAGAAATTTAGTAACTATGTTGGCAACACAAGCCTTTTCTACATAAAAAAATTTGAAAGCATTGACAATTTTACATTGTATTGCCAACATAATGTCATTTTGACTTTTATTTAAAAAAAAAACACAAGTTTTACAAGCTATAGCTCTCTTTTTCCTGCCCTCTACGTTATATCTCTCTACTATGTGTTGCAACGAAGGCATGTGTTCTAGATATAGCTCTCTCTCCTTTTCTCTACATTATATTTTTTTCCCTCTCGTATAATTTAATGTGCTTAAACGTGACGCGAACTTCAAATCACTCTCCATTCTTTTTCAAATATCAGATTGCCGCCTGAGAAGTTTCACTTCAAAAATCATTTGCAGCCTCGTATACACGTGTTAAGAAGTGAAATTTCTTAAAAACTATTTCCCCCTTATACAACACAAAAGAGAGACGCGCATGTGTAGTGACGTCACAATGGTATCGGCGCTTGACAATAATAGGTAATCCTCTTTGCTTATAATCGTTATTTTGTGTCAATCGTCCGTCGGCTATGATTGTCAAGTATCGTCACACCCCAAATATATGGCTGTCTTTCTCCCTCCCTCTGTGCTATATATTTCTTCTCCCTCTTGTAATGAAATTTACCAAAACGTGACGCTTCCCTGTCTTTCTCCATTTCTGTACCAACGAAAATTGAAATATTAATTTTTGTCTGCCTGTCACTTTGGTGACTTTTGTTGCGTTAGCATCACGACTACTCCGATTTTTCGGGATTTTTCTGGCTCCCAAAAAAGTCAAATGTTGAAAGGTGTACCTAATCAAATATTGAGACTTTCTCGTACCAATATTATCAATATTGGATCGACTTCAAATTTTAGATAAGGAACTAACTTATTGCAGAAAAGTACTAAATACCCGCTCAAACTTTCCATACAGTTTACCAAACATGTGGGTGAATTATCACCAACATTACTTCGAAGGTACACCAAATTTTTCCCATTGCGCATGTCTCGAGCTGCTTTCAACGTTTTCGAGAGCCTGTTGAGTGTTGAAACATATCTTGTATGTTGTAAAAAAAGCACAGTGTTGAAATTAATGATTTGGGCTTGTAAAATCAAGTAAAATAACATCAGACCAATAAGTTTATTTGTTATTAATAAACAACCGACCACGCCAGGCCTATCAGACAACTGACTTTAGCAAGACAAGGTACAACCCTAACCCTATTCTTATACGCAAAAACTCAAAAACGTTAAGGTAGTTTTCTCGGTAGTTTTACACTTGCACCATGATTAACATAACGTCGTTCTAACTAAATACTAAAACTAAAGTAATAATAAAATATTTATATTGATATATGTTATTTATGTAGGTATCTCTTCCTCACTATTTTACCATTACATATATCTATTCTTAGATCTACAGCAGAATTTGAGCAGTGATTTGGTTATACCCAAGCCTTCCCTGAATTTCTCAAATTTGATTCTAGACAACAGCTTGGTAAATATATCGGCTAGTTGATCTTCTGTTTTAATTAACTGTATATCCACCATTCCACTATCTATCTTCTCTTTTACAAAGTTTAGTTTTATATCAAGGTGAACCAGGTAAACACATGTAAACTTCTTCCTTGATTTCACCAAACAAAAACGTACTTTCCACATTCATTTGTAAAATGGGCTTACCCAACTTAAGACTGACAACTAGTAGCACCCTGAAGGTTGACAATTTTGCTACTGCAGCATAAATGTCATAAAAGTTGTCATTACGTTCTTGTTATAAACCCCGAGCCACTAAGCTAGTCTTGAATTCATTTTCACTTTTCCTTTCAAAGACCCACTTGCTTTCAATCACTTTCTTGTCATGCAGACCATGTGTCGTTTTTTTTCAAAACTTGCAGCTCCTTGTCCATAGCATCTTTCCATTTGGTGGGATTGTTTACATTTAGGGCTTCTTCCAGACTAATAGGGTTCTCATTTTGTGAAAAGAAACTTGTTGCATAATCGTTCATCCAAAAGGGTGTCTGAATTTTTCTTTTATTAAGTCTGGTACTTGATTTCGTAATATCTTCAAATTCTGGTTCGATGAATATTGTCTATATCATTATTGGAGTTTTCGTAACTTGTGTGTAAGTCTTCTTGGTTCTTATTTTCAACTGCTTCCGATTCTGATTCACTCTCATCACTGTTTTGCAGGTCCAATT